CCCACACCCACCCACACCCACACCCACACCCACCCACACCCCCACACTCACGCACACAGCCACAGCCACAGTCACACCCCCACACCCACACCCTTCGTAGCCAGCCACAACCACACCTACCAACACTCACACCACCATACCTACACACCCACATCGACATCTGCCCACACGCACATGCACACCCACACCCACACCCACACACACCCACACCCACACCCACACCCACACCCACGCCCACACGCCACACCCACACCCACACCCACACCCACACCCTGACGTGCTTTCGAATATTCACCCATGTTGTAATACACCGAACCGATGTTATTGTAGAATGCAGCCAAATTAGCATCATTCGGAGGAAGTGATTGTTGTTCAATTTCAAGGGCTTTCTCAAAATATGGAAGAGCTTTTGCATGTTGTCCCATCTGGCCAAGCGAACTACCGATGCTGTTGTAGTACGCAGCCAAAAGAAGATCGTTCGAAGGAAGTGATTTTTCGTATATTTCAAGGGCTTCAGCTTTGTCAGTTGTCGTTGGTTTGATCTTGTTCATTACTTACTGTATGGATGTCGTTAATAAGAAATAATTGAAAAACAAATGCTAGCCTGAAAATGAAAAAAATGCTCCATTTTATACATACATGTCGCACTTGAAACTTCAATTGAAATTTCAAGTTTCAAGTTTCAACTTTCAGGTTTCCAACCTTAAGCAGTTTGTAGAATCCCCCAAATACGGACATTCTCATGTAGACATGATCGCAGCTGGTGCGACTGCAGCGAGAGAAGTTTCATGAATGGCGACTCGAGGGTGTGGGTGTGGATGTGGGTGGGTTTGAATGTTGGCATTGCTCTTCTCTTTATCCACACTCACATCCACACACCACCCACACCCACCCACAGTTACACTTACTCCCACCCTAACTATGCCGAGTAATTTTCAATGATGACTGACTTTGATTTCGTGGAGTTTTGTGTGTTAGACAAGTCTTTTTTTGTTGCATTGTTCGTTTCTTATTTTTCTCTCATAACAACATTTTACGATGTATTTCTGCTTGGTTTTGTTGTTTTACGTTATTTTTTCAGTTCTTGTCAAGTACATACTCTACTTGGAAGAACTTCACATAAAAACAATAAAACATTCAAGGTAACGAACACGAAACGATTGATTTTAAACAAAAAAAATTCATATTTCAAAGAAGAAACTCAGCTCGCAGAGGACGCAAGCACTTATTTTCGTTATCGTGTGATACGTTGGGATCACTAGCATTCAAGTAGAAATGATGTTTAACTGAGATAAAGTCTATTAGTTATCAATGAGAAAATCTGATTTCAGAGCCCTAACAGAACATGATTCCTTTATAATTGTCTGCGCGACTTATTTCATTCTTAACTAAATGATACTCACGTCACCATAAACATCGGATAACTTTCTTTGTAAGCTTATGAAGCATTGATAATTTTCAATATAATTACTATTTTTTCAAATTGAATTCATATTTTAAAAAACGCATCACATTCGTCTTATTTCTTCATTAAGGAGGATGTGAGGTGTTGGGATGGGTGTAGCTGAGTTTGACTGGGTAGGATCACAGTGATTTGACTCATATCCATACCCACACTCATCCATACCCCACACACCCACCCACATCCACATCCACATCCACATCCACATCCACACCCACACCTCACACCCACACCCACACCCACACCCACAGCCACAGCCACAGCCACACCCACACCCTCAGGGGAAATGAGACTGAAGCAAAAATTTAAGCTTTAGGGTGGAACAAGAGAACAAAATTTTCGTTCCGCAAGTCTCTGATCATTGTTTAGGAACGTTGCATTTCAAGGATCGCTATTCGTTCGCTGTTGAGCTTTTTGGCATTTTGGACAGCATAATCTGGTGGATCGTCGTAGTAGTCTTCGAGCTGACGAAATAGGTTAGCATCGCACTTTTTCACAGCATCGAGTGAAAGATATATATACACATACGGCGGATATGCATTGAGTCCCTCCCAGAACGGTGTTTGGAACATGTCCATACCTGTCCAATCTTTCATACTAAATGCTACACGGGTGATAGCATCAGCACCCAACTTGTCTTTTAATGTTTTCATGATCTCAAAAATTCCCATCCAAAACTTCCGCGACGTGGTTCTTTCCCGACGATGGCCAAAGTCTCGAGTGATACAGTGAATGATCACGTTACGGACGCGCATGTGTGACACGTAAGCCATAAAAGAAAATGGCTCTTCTTCTGTTGAAAGCTCCATAATACGCATATGCTTCAGGAACCACCAGTCATGAGAAAAGAATCGACTATGGAAAGGGGCTTCGTAGAGTAAAGAGTGGTATTCTAGAAACATTTCACGTATATGCGAATAGTTGTGTGCGCGCCTATACTCAGGCTGTGGCTTATGGCGTTCTTGAGAAGTCGTCAGTTGCTTCCAGTTCTTTCGAAAAGTTTCAAGTATGTACTCTTTGCCAATTTTGTATGCTTCAAGTGATTGATGGCCAAGCTCCCAAGGACATTCTCCTTTGCAGACATGACGATCAAACCAGATGATGGAATCGATGTGTAGACGAAATTGCCAACACGAGAGATTGGAGACATCGGGTACGAATTCGAGGCAAAACGCATCAGTGGATTCCCTTACAGCGAAATCCATATACTTTTCGAACACTTCAGCTATCGAGTCAAGACATTCGCTTTTTTCATCAATCGAAAAGGTAATATTCGGTTTGGATGTGGCAATGGGTTCTTGATTCGACAAAACAATTTCTGTATCACATGCAAAACCTACAATGAGAAAATATTTTGCGATTTTTTTTTAATGATTCTTCACCCACGTCCACAGAACGATGCTCTATACTCAAGAAAATTATCCTACAGTGCACAGTGGAATTTCCTTGAACTTTTGGAAGGATAGTTCAAAGTTAAAATATCCTAAGTGTTAGACTTAAGATCGGCAACAACTCAGCACGACATTTTTTTACTGCGAAACGACGAAAATCACTCACCTGAACTTTCTCCCGATTGTAGCTGAACAATGGATTCATTCTTCAAATTCATGGCAATAGTTGGTAAAGAGACTGGTTCACAAAGAGATGTAATGTCGGGACCCTAAAAAGATGATAGTAAAGGTTGTTGTTCATGAAAAAGCATAGTTGTTTAAGTATAGTGTGCCCCGTCGATGAGCATGTGTCAGTCTGCAAAATGCTTACTCGTCGAAACTAACGTGAACTGGCAAATTCATGTAATAATTTTGGGGCAAAAAAAAACGATTTTAATCAGTTCGTAATCAAAAAATAATTGGCTAAAACCGAATTTCTCGTCTAAAATTTCTACGTAGATCGATCATCATTGTAATAGCAATTCATCATTAAAGTCTTAAAGGATTGTCCTCCAGAATCATAACTCAAATCGGCCCTAATCTATTACCTTACCTTGAGTCTGTTGTAATCGTGTATTCATTCAGAAATAGATTCTAATCGATTATCTTACCTGAAATCCGCCATAGTTAATTCTCACTCTTGAATCAATTTTAGTTTGTCTGATTGTTTCGAAGTGCGATTCTCCAATTTCAAACTCAAATCCTACCATGGTGAACTATGTTTGCCCTAAAAAGAGTTCTTGTCTCTAGCTTGTTTCTAAACAGATTGAACGTTTTCAGTTTTGCAGCTGGATACATACTGTCATGCGTATCAATCACAAAAGTCAATGTGTTCAAAATATGTTTCCTTCTATCAGACTTTATATAGTTTTTTCGGTTAATCATTTTGCTAAAAAGCGTTTGAGATTTCGTTTAG